ATGTACTGTCTGAATATCTAACACCATTTTGGTTCGTTATGCTTCTACATGAATATGAAATAGAGTTTGTGTTCAGAAAAATTCGAAACATTCAAAATTTGGGCAATGTTTACCTCAGAGGGCCCCCTATTGTTATGCGCAGAACCGATGCGCAGAACGGACTTGACTTCCCCTTTAAACAAATACAATGTATCAAATGAAAATGTTTGGTATTTACAGTAATTATAAATATATTTGCTTACCAATTTGAAATCGCTTTGGATTCGGAAGATTTTTAGACTTTGATTCCGGTGTTAACGCGTGTTTTCCCGTAAAATCGAGGCTCCTTCGACTGCATTTCGGCGTCACCGTCTTAGACGCCTCTATCTCACCAGAACCACCTTCTTCAACAACCGAAACATCGTGTACACAACCTAAAACTGCCTCAAAATGCTCTTCGTCAACTCCGCCATGCTGTTTGCGTGTAATTCGATACCATTTTGATGTATATTTGACGTCATGCAAGTTTTTGACTTATATTGACAACTTTTCGAACGCGTTCTGCCAGTCCCTCAAATTTTACCCTTGACCATTCCCATCATGCACCATTATTTTGTTTAATCCTCATTTGAGGGACTGGGTACGAGTCAGCTATGTTGGTACAGATAGCAGATGTTCTAATCTTTTTGTGAACCTTTTTAATGAAGGCTCGTTTTAAGTTCGTCTGGTAAAGAATTCCACTGCTTTGCTCCAGTGAAAGCAAAATTTGAATTATAATAATCTGTTCGATTTACGGGAAGCTCGAAATTTAATTTGGATTGACGAAGGCTATAATCATTTAAGCTACTATGAAATGTAAACATTTCCGTTAAATATTCTGGTGCAAGAGCATGTACTATTTTATACATCATAATAGCTTTTTGTTTTTGTCTTATTTCTTTTATATTCATCCAGTTTAATTCCGCCAAAATCAACGAAGATGGTTTTAATAAGGGTGCTCCTGTAATTATGCGCGCCGCTCTGTTTTGAAGAAATTGCAATTATTTATCTAATATCTCGCTTATGTTGTCCCAAACAATTGAACAGTAAATAAAATACGGTTCAATTAATGCTCTATACAGAGACACAGGATTTTTCCGACTAAAGAGTTTCTTCACTTTACGAAGGGCTGCAATATTACGGGATACCTTTAAACGGATGCTCTGGATTTGTATTTCCCATGTTATATATATGTTCTCGTCAATATCGACTCCTAAACACTTTACTTATCTAATTTTACCTAATGTCACATTATCAGCCGATAATGCTAGTGAATCGTCAAGCGCCGATAATTTTTGCCGTGAGCCAATCAGCATAAAATCTGTTTTTAGGACGTTTAGCGTCAATTTATTAGCACAAAGCCATTGAATTATGTTGTTGTATAGACAGACAGACAGACAGACAGACAGACAGACAGACAGACAGACAGACAGACAGACAGACAGACAGACAGACAGACAGACAGACAGACAGACAGATAGACAGATAGACTTACAAACAGACAGACAGACAAGACAGACAGACAGACAGACAGACAGACAGACAGACAGACAGACAGACAGACAGACAGACAGACAGACAGACAGACAGACAGACAGACAGACAGAAATCTTTATTTAATTAAATTCGGTGAACTCTTCAGTGATACCACTGCATTACAAGAGGGCCGACATTATGTTAAAAATAGCTATATACAATTTTAGGCATGAGATGAGATACATTTTTTGAAGATTTGTAAACCATTGCTACATTTTACTTCTTCTGGTAGTTCGTTCCAAACTTTTGCTCCAGAAAAGGCAAAACTTTTCTTTAGGAATTCTGTTTGCGCTCTGCGCAAAATTAGACAGAGTTATCTATTTCTAAGAGAATATGCTTTGTCCGTGAAAGACATTTTAAAATGGTCACGTAAGTAAACAGGAGCCATATTATTTAATATTTTATACATCATTATGAGTTTATGACTATTTCTTATTTCGGAAAGTGTTTTCCATTTCAATTGACTCCTAATATCATTAGATCTTACTTCATAACCCTGACAAGTGATAACTCTTGCTGCACGATTTTGCAGTTTTTGGAGTCGTTGAGCAAGTGTGATTGACATGTTATCCAAAACAACATCACAATAGTCAAATATTGGTTGAATTAGTGAATTATATATTGTAAGTAATGTTGAAAGGGTAACAAACTCTCTCACTTGCCGAAGACCGGAAATTCCGGAGCATATGGTCTTAGAGATTTTATCAATATGATCTCTCCATGACAATCTTTCGTCAATAAATATCCCTAGTGATTTTGATACTTTAACTCTTCTTATGGGTTTTCCACCCAAAACTAAATATGGTATGTCCCGCAGTTTGTCAAGATTACTGTCAGACGCAATGAACATATACTCCGTTTTGGTAACATTCAGGGTAAGTTTATTTGGTTTGATCCATATGCGAATATTTTCAAGATCTGTATTGGCTCCAGATGCTGTTTCCTTTATCGACTTTCCAGTTGTAGTTATATTTGTATCATCCGCATACATTCGTCCTGTAGAATGTTGCAAACAAGAAGGAAGGTCATTAATGTAAACAAGAAATAGCAAAGGATCACGAATAGTTCCTTGAGGTACCCCACATAGCAACGAGCGCTCACTTGATACTAGACCATTTACATTACATTTAACACGTTCTACTATAGGGTCCAATATTCTATTTAACAGAATTTGAGAGAAAAATGAAAGAAAACACTAAAAAATGCAATGAATACAGCCATGACTGTGGAGAAATTATACATAAATGTAATAATTCTGCATGAAAACAAAAATTCCTTTTCAAACATGATAAAAATTGGTAAAAAACATAAGAATAATTGCAAATGTGGACAATGACAGATTTCATGTTTTAATAGGAAAATCGAATCAAATTGCATGTTAAAAATGACTGGAAATATATTCAGCAAAAACATACACATTTTGCAACAATTTTAGCTTTTCCAAGTTGCAAGATATGACTAAAATCTCTAAGAGGAAAAAACTGCTAAAAAATTTGGGCAAAATTTATTGTTTTTAGCAAAGTGAGTAAAAGGCATGTGAATAAAAGGGAAAAAAGAGGAAAATGTTATAGTTCCAAAACATGTCTGGAGGCAGCCACAGTGAGTGAAAATTATATATCAAGAACATGGCACATGCCACCTTCGATATGTCGAAAACTCTAAACTATCCAATGCTTCGATATACCGGTATCGAAAGAATGCCATTTCTTCGATATATTGAAAGATTGCCATTTCTTCAATATATTAAAAGAATGGCATTTCTTCGATATATCGAAAGAATGCCATTTCTTCGATATATCGAAAGAATGCCATTTCTTCGATATATTGAAAAAAATGCCATTTCTTCGATATATCGAAAGAATGCCATTTCTTCGACATATCGAAAGATTGCAATTTCCTCAAATTATATATCGAAAGATTGCAATTTCCTCAATATATCGAAAACTAAACTATCCATGGCTTCTATATATTGAAAGAATGCCATTTCTTTGATATATCAAAATATTGCCATTTTTTCAATATGTCGAAAACTCTAAACTATCCATGATTTCGATACATCAAAGAAATGGCATCAATTGTTTCGATATATTGCAGAATGACGTTCTGTCAAATTCAATATGTGAAAAGGATGTCATGTCTTGCCAAAACCAGCCATGTTTTAAATATTGATAGTAAAACAACAAAGTAGGGCACAATTCAGCTCAATGGGTTAGCAATATGGTATACACTCAAAATATAACACATTCTACGATAGGGTTGCATATTCTATTTAGCTATAATCAAAATAATCACATGTACAGTCAGGACCGCCAAGAGCGGGGGGGGGCAAATTGCCCTGGGCCCCCACCTTAATAGGGCCCCAACTTGGAGCAAGCGCCTAAAATTGAATAGGTTCTATAAAGAGCATTTTTGAAATTGAGGGCCACTTACAGCACCTCCACATGCAGTCTAGCTAAGGTTTAGTTGGGTCTAGCTTAAAAATAATAATGTCATGGGGGCCCCCAGGAAAGGTTTGCCTCGGGCCCCACAAATTCTCTAGGCAGCCCTGTGTACAGTATAGCTAGCTATATTAATTATACATATACAACAACAACATATGTATATATCTATAATGACTAAAATCACTTCATTAGACAGTACAGTATACAGTAGTAACAACTAAATTCAGTTTTAAGAGTTCTTCTGCCCTATAACTATATTGCTTTAGGCAATTTTCTCACGACAATGCATTTGGACCCAGTAACATGCAGACCACTGCAGATAAACCAATCCCACAGCAGCGATGTAACACATCAAAAGAGTTTATCTTCACAAAACATTACATGGTACTGATTATATACCTTCTTGTATAGCTGTGCTACTGTCAATCTCCTTTATCAGGTGGTCTGAACCCTCTATGGTTAAACCCGGTTCTTTTGTGTTTGATGTACTAGAGCATGATGCAAAAGTGATATATCATTTGGTTTACATCAATCTAAAAGAATGGAAAAAACTATAAGAACAGACACCATTAAAATTATTACAGTTTTTACTGCCAATCAAAGAACACAGGAGAATCAGATATATAATGGCATACCGTGAACATCCGAACATATGCCCTGGGCTTATATTCGTTCGTAAAGATTTTTTGATGGGGACTTATGTACAGGGGCCATATACTTATATTGTATCTGTAAACGATGTGAAGTGTGAACCATTGCCTCAGTCAAAAAAACACGTTCATATGACCACTGAATATTCAAGACTAGAAGTAATGATCATTCCCATGTTGTACAGTTAAAACAGACAAGAAGGGATATGTATTTTAAAAATTTAAACAATATTCTTGGGACCGCTTCAAACGTTCAAACAAATCTACCAACCTGAAATTCGCACTATCTTGACCATGATCTAGATGGACCTTGGCAGCAAATATTCAATGCTCTTCCCTTCGATTTGATCTTTCGACCGAATCGACTGTTTAGTTTTAATTTTGTTAAATATTTAATATTCATGTTCATTATTCATATCCAAGCACTGTCCTCACAAAGATTTACCATAGTATAGCTATTTATATATAAACGCTGATATTCATATACGCCGTTGAATTCGCGATTCGAATTCAAAATTTATAGATATTGTGCGCCAAAGAACGAACAATAACCAACGGTTTATGAAACGAAACACGACGATGTCCATAAAAGGACATAATCGAAACAGCTCGCTTCGAGTTCGGGAAAAATAGTACCAACATGCTTTGCGCACCGCGACTCTGCCTGTCGCCATATTTCATAGTTGCGAATATTCAAATCGTTTGCTTCTTTATCGCCGGAATATTTGAATATTTATTGCTTCTCAACGCAGGAATACTTAAAGATTAAATCAAGCAAGGTATGTACTACACAATTGCTATTTATTTCCCCGGAAGAGAGAGTACAATCTCATTATCTCAGGAGTATATTGTAACGGAATTTTATTTTGCTGGTTTACAACTCGTGTAAAAAATACATAAGAAAAATTTTGTGTTGAGTTATTAAAAATTCCACAGGATGTTGGCCTCTCTGCAACTGATTTATTTCTTACAAGGACAACATTTTTTCTTCGCTTGACAGCTTTTTGATAGTGTAGTATTTATAACAATATTTCGTGGGCATCTCACTTGATTGAAGTCATTGAACTTAATATTAAATATTGAATTATGAATGTGAAGAAGTTTGTACATGGTCTATAAAGAATAGGCTTTTCACATCCAAGCATTGCCAATGGAGGAGTGGGGTGAGGGCACCGAGGGGCAATCCCTACATGTAGCTTCAAATTAAATATGTACCTTGGTCATTTTAACCTGATTTGTATGGTCTGTTCAAATGAGCCATAATAATATTAGCATAGAAAATTACATTTTGTTCATGTAAGGAAGCACAAACTATTAGCCCAGTTGGTCAGATCCCAGATTTGTTGAAATTAGAGACCGGGCATTTTAATTTTAATGAAAGCATTGTGAGAATTATCGGTGTTCTATCAATAGGCATAGCATCATTAAGAAAAAGCTAACTGCAACTAGGGTATAAAATTATATACAAGGCACTGTTATCAATGTGTCTAATTTGATCCATTGCTGAGGATGACTAAAATATAATCGAAAAGTAGAATTACCATTGTGTGCTTTATGAAAATACGCAGTGCTTCCCATAATCACCATTCATTAATAATATTAATTCCTCCTTAGGATTATGTTGACGAGGGCTATATGTAACAAACCATTCATTGGTGACGCTAGATGATCTTCATTCAAGATTCATTATCGGAAAGGAATCATCAGCAAGAAATGGTCTTTTCATTGGCTGATAAAAATTAACCTTGGGCAGATGTTTGCCAGGTTGTATATTTCTTGTGGCCTTTGACTTGCATAAGGAAAAGAAAATATATACTGACACTGCATGCTTGCATGCTAGATGACGAACTCATTGTTGAAGAACATTTTAGTATTGTTTATATAAAAAAGAACACTGTAAAGTCACCTTGTACTGGACAGAGTAATGTAATAAGTGCAGAGCTCGGCACAGCTAATTTACATTACCATTTGCAGTCTAAATGGTAATAAATGTGATATTTTACATTCATCCAACTTTACTGTCTTACATTTTGAAAAGCATTACAGTACAAAACTTCAATGTGCCCTACTTGCCTACTGCCCTTTCATTATATTACTCTATCTAACAGCATATAAGGTCAGGGATGGATCCAGCATGATCTGGTAGGGGGGGGGGGTGCTCTCGTGCCGACTGCCGAGTTGTGTCGGTCATGTGTGCCACCCGACCATCAACTCCCGTATTTGAATTGTAATTGTTGTTCACAGTTCATTTATCCTCATGTTATTACTCAAATTACTGTATCTCATTTTGTCTTTTTTGCTTTATCATAAAAAATAGCACCCCCTCTGCACCCCCTCTGGCAAGGGCTAGGGGGGGGGGTGCACCCCCCAGTAAATCCATCCCAGCCTGTATAAGGTTATATTTCATTAAGGGGTTGAGTCTTATTAATAGTTTATTTGTGAATTTATTTAAATATGTATCATTTTGATATTGAGCATAATAGTTTTCACCTAAATACATTGTGCTTTATATATTTTCTATTTATGTATGTGTATAATGCTAAATTGAATAGAATATTATTTTTTGCTAAAATGTGTTGATTTAGGTTATGTTAGATGTCACTAAGATGGTTTCGATAAATCGAAACATTGACATGGTCTCGATAAATCGAAACATTGACATGGTCTCGATAAATCGAAACATTGACATGGTCTCGATAAATCGAAACATTGGCATAGTCTCGATAAATCGAAACATTGACATGGTCTCGATAAATCGAACCATGACATTGTCTTCGATAAATCGAAACATTGACATGGTCTCGATAAATCGAAACATTGGCATAGTCTCGATAAATCGAAACATTGACATGGTCTCGATAAATCGAACCATGACATTGTCTTCGATAAATCGAAACATT